CTCAGGTACTCCCCTCAGGTACTCCCCTCAGGTACTCCCCTCAGGTACTCCCCTCAGGTACTCCCCTCAGGTAATCCCCTCAGGTACTCCCCTCAGGTACTCCCCTCAGGTAATCCCCTCAGGTACTCCCCTCAGGTACTCCCCTCAGGTAATCCCCTCAGGTAATCCCCTCAGGTACTCCCCTCAGGTACTCCCCTCAGGTACTCCCCTCAGGTACTCCCCTCAGGTACTCCCCTCAGGTAATCCCCTCAGGTACTCCCCTCAGGTACTCCCCTCAGGTAATCCCCTCAGGTACTCCCCTCAGGTACTCCCCTCAGGTACTCCCCTCAGGTAATCCCTTCAGGTACTCCCCTCAGGTACTCCCCTCAGGTACTCCCCTCAGGTAATCCCTCAGGTAATCCCCTCAGGTACTCCCCTCAGGTAATCCCCTCAGGTACTCCCTCAGGTACTCCCCTCAGGTACTCCCCTCAGGTACTCCCCTCAGGTAATCCCCTCAGGTACTCCCCTCAGGTAATCCCCTCAGGTACTCCCCTCAGGTACTCCCCTCAGGTACTCCCCTCAGGTACTCCCCTCAGGTACTCCCCTCAGGTAATCCCCTCAGGTACTCCCCTCAGGTACTCCCCTCAGGTACTCCCCTCAGGTAATCCCCTCAGGTACTCCCCTCAGGTAATCCCCTCAGGTACTCCCCTCAGGTAATCCCCTCAGGTACTCCCCTCAGGCACTCCCCTCAGGTAATCCCCTCAGGTAATCCCCTCAGGTACTCCCCTCAGGTAATCCCCTCAGGTAATCCCCTCAGGTACTCCCCTCAGGTACTCCCCTCAGGTACTCCCCTCAGGTACTCCCCTCAGGTACTCCCCTCAGGTACTCCCCTCAGGTACTCCCCTCAGGTACTCCCCTCAGGTACTTCCCCTCAGGTAACTACCCCTCAGGTAATCCCCTCAGGTACTCCCCTCAGGTACTCCCCTCAGGTAATCCCCTCAGGTACTCCCCTCAGGTAATCCCCTCAGGTACTCCCCTCAGGTACTCCCCTCAGGTACTCCCCTCAGGTTACTCCCAACCTCAGGTACTCCCCTCAGGTTACTCCCCTCAGGTACTCCCCTCAGGTACTCCCCTCAGGTACTCCCCTCAGGTACTCCCCTCAGGTAATCCCCTCAGGTACTCCCCTCAGGTACTCCCTCAGGTACTCCCCTCAGGTACTCCCCTCAGGTACTCCCCTCAGGTACTCCCCTCAGGTACTCCCCTCAGGTACTCCCCTCAGGTACTCCCCTCAGGTACTCCCCTCAGGTACTCCCCTCAGGTACTCCCCTCAGGTACTCCCCTCAGGTACTCCCTCAGGTACTCCCCTCAGGTACTCCCCTCAGGTACTCCCCTCAGGTACTCCCCTCAGGTACTCCCTCAGGTACTCCCCTCAGGTACTCCCCTCAGGTACTCCCCTCAGGTACTCCCCTCAGGTACTCCCCTCAGGTACTCCCCTCAGGTACTCACCCTCAGGTCTCCCCTCAGGTACTCCCTCAGGTACTCCCTCAGGACTCCCCTCAGGTACTCCCTCAGGTACTCCCCTCAGGTACTCCCCTCAGGTACTCCCCTCAGGTACTCCCCTAGTTTCCCCCTCAGGTACTACCCTCAGTGTACTCCCCTCAGGTAATCCCCTCAGAGTAATCACCTCACGGTAACTCCCCTCAGGTACTCCCCTCAGGTAATCCCCTCAGTTCTCCCCGCAGGTACTCCACTCAGGACTCCCTCAGGGTTCTCCCTCCTCATGGTAATCCCCTCAGGTACTCCCCTCAGGTACTCCCCTCAGGTCACTCCCCTCAGGTACTCCCCTTCAGGTACTCCCCTCAGGTTACTCCCCTCAGGTACTCCCCTCAGGTACTCCCCCTCAGGTACTCCCCTCAGGTACTCCCCTCAGGTACTCCCCTCAGGGTGAGGGTACTCCCTCAGGTAATCCCCCTCAGGTACTCCCCTCCTCAGGTACTCCCCTCAGGTACTCCCCTCAGGTACTCCCCTCATGGTACTCCCTCAGGTAATCACCTCAGGTACTCCCCTCAGGTACTCCCCTCAGGTACTCCCCTCAGGTACTCCCCTCAGGTACTCCCCTTCAGTACTCCCCTCAGGTACTCCCCTCAGGTACTCCCCCTCAGGTACTCCCCTCAGGTACTCCCCTCAGGTACTCCCCTCAGGTATCCCCTCAGGTACTCCCCTTCAGGTAACTCCCCCCTCAGGTAATCCCCTCAGGTCCTCCCCTCCAGGTACCTCCTCAGGTACTCCCCTCAGGTACTCCCCTCAGGTACTCCCTCAGGTACTCCCCTCAGGTACTCCCCTCAGGTAATCCCCTCAGGTTCTCCCCTCAGGTACTCCCCTCAGGTACTCCCCTCAGGTACTCCCCTCAGGTACTCCCCTCAGGTACTCCCTCAGGTACTCCCCTCAGGTACTCCCCTCAGGTACTCCCCTCAGGTACTCCCCTCAGGTACTCCCCTCAGGTACTCCCCTCAGGTACTCCCCTCAGGTACTCCCCTCAGGTACTCCCCTTCAGGTACTCCCCTCAGGTACTCCCCTCAGGTACTCCCCTCAGGTACTCCCCTCAGGTACTCCCCTCAGGTACTCCCCTCAGGTACTCCCCTCAGGTACTCCCCTTCAGGTACTCCCCTCAGTACTCCCCTCAGGTACTCCCGCTCAGGTACTCCCCTCAGGTACTCCCCTCAGGTACTCCCCTCAGGTACTCCCCTTCAGGTACTCCCCTCAGGTACTCCCCTCAGGTACTCCCCTCAGGTACCCCTCAGGTACTCCCCTCAGGTACTCCCCTCAGGTACTCCCCTCAGGTACTCCCCTCAGGTACTCCCCTCAGGTACTCCCCTCAGGTACTCCCCTCAGGTACTCCCCTCAGGTACTCCCCTCAGGTACTCCCCTCAGGTACTCCCCTCAGGTACTCCCCTCAGGTACTCCCCTCAGGTACTCCCCTCAGTACTCCCCTCAGGTACTCCCCTCAGGTACTCCCCTCAGGTACTCCCCTCAGGTACTCCCCTCAGGTACTCCCCTCAGGTACTCCCTCAGGTACTCCCCTCAGGTACTCCCCTCAGGTACTCCCCTCAGGTACTCCCCTCAGGTACTCCCCTCAGGTACTCCCCTCAGGTACTCCCCTCAGGTACTCCCCTCAGGTACTCCCCTCAGGTACTCCCCTCAGGTACTCCCCTCAGGTACTCCCCTCAGGTACTCCCCTCAGGTACTCCCCTCAGGTACCTCCCCCTCAGGTACTCCCCTCAGGTACTCCCCTCAGGTACTCCCCTCAGGTACTCCCCTCAGGTACTCCCCTCAGGTACTCCCCTCAGGTACTCCCCTCAGGTACTCCCCTCAGGTACTCCCCTCAGGTACTCCCCTCAGGTAATCCCCTCAGGTACTCCCCTCAGGTACTCCCCTCAGGTAATCCCCTCAGGTACTCCCCTCAGGTACTCCCCTCAGGTAATCCCCCTCAGGTATCCCCTCAGGTACTCCCCTCAGGTACTCCCCTCAGGTACTCCCCTCAGGTACTCCCCTCAGGTACTCCCCTCAGGTAATCCCCTCAGGTACTCCCCTCAGGTACTCCCCTCAGGTAATCCCCTCAGGTACTCCCCTCAGGTACTCCCCTCAGGTACTCCCCTCAGGTAATCCCTTCAGGTACTCCCCTCAGGTACTCCCCTCAGGTACTCCCCTCAGGTAATCCCCTCAGGTAATCCCCTCAGGTACTCCCCTCAGGTAATCCCCTCAGGTACTCCCCTCAGGTACTCCCCTCAGGTACTCCCCTCAGGTACTCCCCTCAGGTAATCCCCTCAGGTACTCCCCTCAGGTAATCCCCTCAGGTACTCCCCTCAGGTACTCCCCTCAGGTACTCCCCTCAGGTACTCCCCTCAGGTACTCCCCTCAGGTACTCCCCTCAGGTACTCCCCTCAGGTACTCCCCTCAGGTACTCCCCTCAGGTACTCCCCTCAGGTACTCCCCTCAGGTAATCCCCTCAGGTACTCCCCTCAGGTAATCCCCTCAGGTACTCCCCTCAGGTACTCCCCTCAGGTACTCCCCTCAGGTAATCCCCTCAGGTAATCCCCTCAGGTAATCCCCTCAGGTAATCCCCTCAGGTAATCCCCTCAGGTACTCCCCTCAGGTACTCCCCTCAGGTACTCCCCTCAGGTACTCCCCTCAGGTACTCCCCTCAGGTACTCCCCTCAGGTACTCCCCTCAGGTACTCCCCTCAGGTACTCCCCTCAGGTATTCCCCTCAGGTACTCCCCTCAGGTAATCCCCTCAGGTACTCCCCTCAGGTACTCCCCTCAGGTAATCCCCTCAGGTACTCCCCTCAGGTAATCCCCTCAGGTACTCCCCTCAGGTACTCCCCTCAGGTAATCCCCTCAGGTACTCCCCTCAGGTAATCCCCTCAGGTACTCCCCTCAGGTACTCCCCTCAGGTACTCCCCTCAGGTACTCCCCTCAGGTACTCCCCTCAGGTACTCCCCTCAGGTACTCCCCTCAGGTACTCCCCTCAGGTACTCCCCTCGAATACTCCCCTGTGTGCCCCAGGTACTCTCCTCAGTTACCTTCCCAGGTACTTTGCTCAGGTGAATGGAGAATCTTTGCCAGAGCGCATGAATCTCCGTTTCCTTCAAGGCTGCTCCCCTCCCCTCTCCCTTCCCCTCCCCCCCCCCCCTCTCCCCCTCCCCCTCCCCCCTCCCCCCTCCCCCCTCCCCTCTCCACCTCCCCTCCCCCCTCCTCTCTCCCGCTCCCCTCTCCCTCTCCAACTCCCCCCTCCCCCCTCCCCTCTCCCCTTCCCCTCAGCTCATCTGCATTCTAGCAGTGCTCTATTGGAGTGACTTTTGAGAATTCTCAAAGGTCACTCCAATATGGCACAGGTTGCGCACATCAAGGCTGCCACGGGCCATGGCCAATGGTGGGCTGGGGGGGCACGTGTGTGTGTCCCCTCAATTTCCTGTCGCCCGTCCCCCCACCCTTCTCTCTCCCCGACTTCCCCTCCCCCCAGCTCATCCGCATTCTCGGGGTGCTTAAGGCGCTGGTGGCGCACATCAAGGCGGCCACGGCCAACGGCGGGCTGGGGCTGGGGCTGGGCGAGCAGCTGCCTCAGCTGCCGTCCCTCGACATGGATGTGAGCCACCTAGAGGCTGTGCCAGTGAGGGGGTCAACGGGGGTCAACACTGGGGGTCAATGGGGGTCAATGGCGGTCAATGGGGGTCAATGGCGGTCAATGGGGGTCAATGGGAGTCAATGGGGGTCAATGGCGGTCAATGGGGGTCAATGGGGTCAATGGGGGTCAATGGGGGTCAATGGGGGTCGATGGGGGTCAATGATGGGGGTCAATGGGGGTCAATGGGGTCAATGGGGGTCAATGGGGGTCAATGGGGGTCGATGGGGGTCAATGATGGGGGTCAATGGGGGTCAACGGGGGTCAATGATGGGGGTCAATGGGGGTCAACAGGGGTCAATGGGGGCCAATGAGGGATCAATGGGGGTCGATGGGGGTCACTGGGAGTCAGCTCAAGTCAATGGGCATGGGCGTCAATGCGAGTCAAGATAAGCGATCACAAGAGTCATTTGGGCGGGTTCTGACTGGGAATCAGCCAGCTGTTGGGATTTCTGGAGTGATTATCGATGCCAGTCAATGTGAGTCAATCCAAGTCATCTATACTTTCACTACGGCCGTGCTCTGCGGTGCCCTGCTGTGCCTTCTGTGCAGAGAGACCGCACGAGAGGAGCACAACAGCAGCACGAGCACCCGCAATCTCCTCAAAAGACTTGGGTTTAGCTGGCAGGCAGCATAGCAGTCACACGCGCGCACGCACACCCCTCCACTCACAGACATGCTGCCTTGACTTGCGGCCCTCCCCTCGCTCCCTTCTCCCCCCAACCCTTTCTGCGGCTGCTGCAGCAGGTGCTGGCAGAGGTGCTTTGAGTCGACTCAACACTCATCTCCCTCCCCTGTACGCCCTCTTTCCCCTCTGCCCCTCATTCTTCCCTCCTCCCCCTGTTTCTTCCCCATTCTCCCCTTCTTTCCCCCAACCACAGCTGCAGCCGCAGGCACAGGTGTCAGCGCAGCAGGCGCAGCAGATGGAGCGGCTGCTGCAGCAGGTGCTGGCGGAGGTGCGCAACGGAACGCACCTCACGCTGCTCCTCCGCGCCGTCTCCACGCAGACCACCATCCTCTCGCGCCTCGCCAAGCGCTTCTCCTCGCTCCAGTCAGCCGCCTTCTCAGTCACCACTGCCGCCACACCCCCGCCTGCTGGCCCTGACTCTGCCGCCGGCGGTGGCGGTGGCGGTGCGGCGGTCAAGTCCCTGCAGGGGCTGGTGGCGATGGTGCTGCAGAACTCACAGAAGCACATGAGGGCGCTGCGGGACGTGAAGCAGATGCTCACGGGGGAGGAGGCGGACGGCAAGGGGGGGTACTCGGTGCCGGTGAGGACGCTGGCCGTGGTACAGGAGAGCGCGCGCGCGCTGCAGCAGATGCCCGCCCTGCTCATGCAGCTGGATCGCCGCTTGCAGGGCGTGGGTGGCGGGGCGGGTGGTGGTGTGGCTGGGGGAGGAGGGGGAGGAGGAGGAGTGAGGGCGGAAGGGGTCGTGGTAGGGGGAGGGGGAGCAGGCACAGGCATGCGGCAGCAGCAGCTGGAGCAGCAGCAGCAGCAGCAGCAGCAGCGGCAGGTGGTGACGGCGATGGAACCCCCGAAGCTGAGTGGCAGGGCGGCACGGCACGAGCGGCTGAAGCAGCTGATGGCGAAGGAGGCTGCCGCCCGCGCCGCCAAGCAGAAGGAGGAAGAGGCGGCGGCAGCAGGGAAGGTGGCGGCGGCAAGCGGAGTGGAAGGAGCGGGAGCAGGAGGGCAGAAGGAAGGGGGGGGCAGAGAGCAGCGCGCGGTGGAGGGTGCAGGGCAGGCGCAAGATGGGGGCGCACAGCAGCAACAGCAGGAGCAGCAGCAGGAGGTGGAGCACGGAGTTGTGGCGGCAGGTATGGGTGCAGCAGGAGGGGCAGGCGCAGGGAGGGGTGGTGGAGATGACAGGGGTGGAGGGGAGCAGCAGAGGCAGGGACAGGTGAAGACGGAGGGGGGAAGTGAGGGGAGGGGTGGCATTACGGCAGAGGAGAAGGCTGGTGGGCGCGAGGGGGGGACGAGTGCAGGGAGCGATGGTGCTGTGGGTGCTGGTGGTGCTGGTAGCAGTGGTGGTGCTGGTGATGGTTCTACTGGTTCTACTGGTTCTGGTGTTGCTGCCACTGATGGCTTGCAGAGAGTGCAGGGCGAGAGGGAAGGGCGAGTGGGAGGTGGGGTTGGAGGTGGGGAGCAAGAGGGAGGGGAGGGAAGGAGGGAGGGTGGGGGAGAAGGTGGGGGGGATGCCGAGGAGGGGGAAGCACAAGGGACTGCTGGGGAAGGAGATGGAGGAGGGGAGGGGGGAGGGGCAGGAGCAGGGGTAGGAGAGGGGAAAGCAGCGTCAGGAGGCGATGAAGGAGAGGGAGCAGGGGGGGCAGGGGGAGAAGGGGGAGAAGGGGGCGCAGGGGGAGGAGAGGGAGGGGGAAGGGCAGGAGGGGGGGTGGTGCCGATAGAGTGGGCGAAGCCAGAGGAGATGGACAGCGAGAGGGCCGACCTGGTGTCCATGCTCAAGGCGCGGCGGGATGAGGCGGGCGAGCGCGGCAGCGACGACAGCGGCGTGAAGAGTGGCGGCGGCAGTGAGGCGGTGAAGCACCGGAGGAAGAGGAAGAAGCACAAGGGTGGGGAGGGGCGCAGTGCGGTGGGAGGTGGTGGGAAGGGTGAGGGGGAGATGAGTGAGGAGGAGAGAGCGATGGCTGAGGCGAGGATGGCGGTGAGTAGAGAGAGAGGGGAGGATGAGGAGGAGGAAGAGGAGGAGGAGGGGGAGGGGGAAGGGGAGGAAGGGGAGGAGGGGGGGGAAGAGGGGGAGGAAGAGGGAGGGGAGGACGAGGAGAAGGGTGGAGGGAAGGGAAAAGGTGAGGGTGGGGTGAAGAGTGGGGTTGGACGCAAACAGAGGGTGGCTGGGGGGGAACGTGGGGAGGCGGGGAGTGGAGAGCTGAAGGAGAGAGGGGGGACGAGAGGAGGGGAGGGAGAGAGCAAGAGGAGGCTGGGAGAGGAAGATGGTGTGAGGGGGGCACAGGGGGGAGGGGCACAAGGAGGAGGGGGAGGAGGTGGAAGAGGAGGAGGAGGAGGTGTAGGGGAAGGAGGAGGGGAGGGCGCAGTGGCAAGGCAGGGCAGAAGGAAGCGCATTCCGATGGAGCAGGCGGAGGAGCAGCAGAGCATGGGGGCGGGGGCACGCACGGGGCTGCGGCTGAAGAGCATGGGGATCGAGGAGCTGCTGAGCCTGGAGGACGAGGAGGACGACGAGGAGGAGGGCGCAGGGGGAGGAGGAGGGGGCGGAGGGGGAGCGGGAGGGGGTACAGTAGGGGGAATGGGCGGGGAAGGGGGTGTAGAGGTGGCTGGGGAGGGGGGGGGGAGCAGTGGTTGGGGGGGAGGGCGAGAAGGCCAGCAGGGGCAGGGGATTAGGATGGGAGTCGCGGGCGGCGGAGGGGGAGTGGGGGTAGCAGCGAGGGTGGGCAAGGCAGTGTTGGATGATGTGGAGGGCGAGGAGGCGTGGAGGGAGCCGCTGCCCACAGAGGGGTACATTCCCCAAGGGCCGTTCGCTAGTGAGTATTCGGAATTTCCAATAGTGACTCAAGCGTAGCCCCTACCTACTGAAGGGTTCATTCCCAAGGGGCCCTTCACCAGTGAGTGCTGTTGGTTTGCCCCTGCCCACTTTCCATCCCTCCTCTCTCGCGTGCTTGCACACCATGGTTCCCTGTTTTGCTCGCAGCCAGAGACCCTCCAGCCCCCACTTGCCGCCCCCCCTTGCAGCCCCCCCTCGCAGCACACTACCGGCTTACCATTCTCCCCTCTCTGCCTTCCCCTGCATCCTTCCGTCCCTCCCGCGACTGCCCATCTGGCTTACCTCCTTCCCCTGCCCCCTGTGCCTCCTTCCCTCCCGTGTCTATCGAATTGGGCCATCAGACGCGTCGGAGTGGAGGCAGCGAGTGCTGGCAGGCAACTCCGTCTTCACACGCTTCAGGTATCAACGACACACATGATACACACATCTCCAGTACTTTCCGGTTGCGATTGCGAGCCTCGCAAAGTGCCATGTTTCTTATAAATTTTCATGCTCATGTCCAATACCCCATGTCCAATACCCCATGCCCAATACCCCATGCCCAATACCCCATGCCCAATGCCCCATGTCCAATGCCCCATGTCCAATACCCCATGTCCAATACCCCATGTCCAATAACCCATGTCCAATACCCCATGTCCAATACCCCATGTCCAATACCCCATGTCCAATGCCCCATGCCCCATGCCCCATGCCCCATGCCCCGTGCCCAATGCCCCATGTCCAATGCCCCATGTCCAATAGCCCATGTCCAATACCCCATGTCCAATACCCCATGTCCAATAACCCATGTCCAATACCCCATGTCCAATACCCCATGTCCAATACCCCATGTCCAATGCCCCATGCCCCATGCCCCATGCCCCATGCCCCGTGCCCAATGCCCCATGTCCAATGCCCCATGTCCAATAGCCCATGTCCAATACCCCATGTCCAATACCCCATGTCCAATACCCCATGTCCAATACCCCATGTCCAATACCCCATGTCCAATGCCCCATGCCCCATGCCCCATGCCCCATGCCACACGCCCCATACCCCACGCCCCATGCCCCGTGCCCAATGCCCCATGCCACACGCCCCCTGACACATGCCCCATGCCCCCTGCCCTCTGCCCCATGCCGCATGGCCCTCTTCCCTCCCCCAACCCCAGTGGCTACCGCGTGGGCCCGCGCAGGCTAGTGGGCGTGGGGGTGGTGTCGCGTGCCATGAAGGGACGACTGGTCGCCACACACTGCAGGTGAGGGCGTACAGGGGGGGGGGCGCACAGGGGGAGGGCGCACAGGGGGAGGGCGCACAGGGGGAGGGCGCACAGGGGGAGGGCGCACAGGGGGAGGGCGCACAGGGTGAGGGCGCACAGGGTGAGGGCGCACAGGGTGAGGGCGCACAGGGGGAGGGCGCACAGGGGGAGGGCGCACAGGGTGAGGGCGCACAGGGTGAGGGCGCACAGGGTGAGGGCGCACAGGGTGAGGGCGCACAGGGTGAGGGCGCACAGGGTGAGGGCGCACAGGGGGAGGGCGCACAGGGGGAGGGCGCACAGGGTGAGGGCGCACAGGGTGAGGGCGCACAGGGTGAGGGCGCACAGGGTGAGGGCGCACAGGGTGAGGGCGCACAGGGTGAGGGCGCACAGGGTGAGGGCGCACAGGGTGAGGGCGCACAGGGGGAGGGCGCACAGGGGGAGGGCGCACAGGGGGAGGGCGCGTTAGTACTGCACTGCACCCTCCTTCTCTCTTGTCGTCGCCCTCCATTCTTCTCTCTTGCTCTGCCAGCCACTGCCAACACCTGCCAACCAGCACGCTCAAGGACCTTCTTGTCACCCTGCCCCAGGGTTCAACCTTAAACCCTACAACCGTAAGCCCTTCTTCTCAGGTGGTTCAGCCTAGCGCTATTCGCTTTGGACTGCGTAGTGAACGTGTCGCACTCGCTGGTTCACCCACTTTCCCCCACCACTCGCCCATCCCTCTCCCGCTTCCCTTCCCCCTCTCAGATGGTTTGGCCCGGCGCTGCTGGCACTGGACTGCTCAGTGAACGTGTCCTACTCGCTGGGGCAGCAGGGGTCCGCCTCGCACCACACAGAGGCCGTTATCGAGGCCGCCTTTAGCGAGGACGTGCCCAACACAGGGGGCTTCATGGCTGTGCGCGTTGAAGGGACCGACTTTGTGCTTTACAGGTGAGAGTGTGAGACAGTGGTGGGTGAGACAGTGGTGGGTGTGGTAATGGTGGGTGGGATAGTGGTGACCCAGGAGTGGAGAAAGAGAGGTGGTGCTTGAAGGGAGTTTCACTGGCTACTGGAAGGGAACGCCTTGCCTTGCACACGTGCCCTTCACCCCTATCCTCTCATCCTCCCTGGAGTTCCTGTTTTCCAGTTCCCTCTTCTTCTCACCTCACCCATATCACCCCTCCCCTCTACCCCCACCTCACCACCTCCTGCGCCTCCTTCTCTCTCCAATGCCTCCCTCTCCTCCACTCGCCCTGCCCGCTCCACCCCACGCCTTCCATTCCCCCGCTCCACGCCCCACCAGGGAAGCTCCTCTCACCTTCCCCAACACGGCCCCAGGTCTCCCTTTCCCCTTCCACTCGGTGCTGTGCCTCCTCCCATCCGCGCGCAATGCATCGGTCCCCGTGCATCTGCTGCGCGAGGCGGTGGAGTACCACCGCCTGCTGGGCGCCGCCGTGGTGGCGCTGTACGACAGCGGCGGGTGGCTCGCCGTGGAACTGCAGGAGCGCTTCCACACCGACTTTGAGCGCAGGGTGGTGCGCCGTACGGATTTCACAGGCGTGAAGCAGTTTGACCTCGAGAGGAACGGACAGGTGCGCGCAACAACGCTCGCGTGTGTTTTCGCATGCATACGCACACACACAGCATGCGTCCCTCTCCGCCCTCTCCGTTTCCACCCTCCCCACCTTCACCACGTGTTGGCCATGCAGGGGTGAGCAAGAGGCGAACACAACGTGTTCACGTTCGCCCCTGCACGAACACCGCCGTTTGACGAACCGAATAGCAAAACAGGGTGTTCGCCGTTCGCCTGTGGAGGCGAACACCTTGGTGTCGGAGGCGAACACCTTGGTGTCGGAGGCGAACACGAACGTGTTCGTGGCAAACACGTTCGTGTTCGCCCCGGGACTACATTCACTATAGTCACACATGGCAGATATTGAATTTGCCCCCCTCCTCCTGCCATCTGATCCGACGGCGAAATGCCAGATCCGTGCTGGCCATGCATGTCTCTGTGCACCACCACCACACGGCCCTTCCCCCTGCCACCCACTTCCCACCCTTTCCCGTGCCACCCTCGTCCACCCCTTTTACCTGCCAACCCCACCACCCTTCAAACCCCCCCTCCCACCAGGTGCTAGCAATGCACGACTGTGTGCACCGCCATGCCTTCACGGCGCGCTGGGTCATCCCAGCCGCCATCAACGAGTTCCTCTTCGTCGGCCTCCCCCCCGCCTCCATCCCCTCCTTCCTCGACCCCTTCGCCTACCCCGCCACCTCCTCCTCTGAAACCGCCCTCTCAGACCCCCTCGTCGACTCTGCCGCCACCGCCGCCGCCGCCGCGGTAACCGCATCTGGAGGCTCGGCAGCCGCGGCCGCCGAAGCTGCAGCGTATGCTCGGGCGGTGCCGTGGGTGAGCGTGGGCAGCCAGTGGTGGTCGACGCGGCTGTGCGCGCTGCCGTTCCGCGTGCCTGAGGGCGAGGCGTTCTCGATGGAGCGCATGGTGTTCCGCTGGCCCTACCCTGTCTGCCACGACCGCATCCGCTTCCCCGACCCCCACCTCTGCCCCGGGGAGGCTGGCTTCCGCCGTCTCATCATGGATCCACGCAAGGTGCGATGGGGTGGGGGCAAGGTGAGGGGGGGGGGGGGGGGGGTAGTGAAGTGGTGAATGGTAGGGTGGAGGGTGCAAAAAGTACACATGTAGGTGGAGGGGCAGCGAGGTACGCAGGAGAGTAAGATAGATGCGGCCACACCGCCCTTCGCTCAAACTACTCTCACGTCGTCGGTGTTTTGTCAAAACGAGTGATTCAACTTGCCGATTCTAGACGACATCAGGGCGCTTCTAATCCATTTTATAGCACATCATCAACGTTTGACGCCGCTCTATAGAAATATGTCTGTGCGCTCTATCTTTCGATTTAGGCACATTTGAGGCTATTGTGACTATAACAAACGCGAGCGGAACTGATGTCACCATCGCCTCAACTCGAAAACGACCACAGAAACGTGGACAGAGCCGGGACGGCAGATAAGAACGTCCAGGTTACGAGTGTCCAAAACAATATGTCTCTGACTCCAATCATGTGGTCACGTCGATGGTGATCAGCATGATGTTTATGAAAGTTCGGAACCGTGGTGAGCCGTCTCACATAACTACTGCATTGTGGTGATGAAGTCATGAGCGGTTTGGACGTGGGCCGGTGCGGTTGGTTGTTGTGGTGTAACGAGGTCACGTCCGTACCACAAGAATAAATGGGTTTTTTTCCTGTGGCCTCGTGTATAGCGTTGTTGTAGGTGAACTCGAGTGTTGATTACTGGTGATCCCAGTGGCTGATGTCATCTTTACAAGCTGTGCGCAGTAACTGTTATACCACTTGGTTCAACCGTTCCGTCTGGCCGTCTGTTTGGGGATGGTATGTTGAAGACATTGGTAACTTAGTCCTCAACAATCCTATGAGTTTCCGCTAGAACTTATTAGTGAACTTCGGGTTTCTGTCTGAGATGAGTGACGGGGTGATGTCGTGGGTGGTGTCGCTGTGTAGAGTTTGTCGAGCTTGTTGATGGACCTGAGCTCGACGGTAGAGGTATCGTCCACCATGGGGAAGGAGGATAAGGAGAGGGGAGGGAACGATACCTTTATGTTCCGAGTGGATTGCGAGAGGCGCTACCATGTGAGAAAAACGGAAGCATGAAGAAGTGATACTTGGATTGAAAACCGCGGGGGTATACATAGGTAAGAGAGCAACCGACCCAGCCCTGCCCATCCCGACCCGATTTGGGCGGGCCAGGCTGGTAGCGGGTCGGGTCGGGTCGGGTCTTAACGGGCCGAGGTTTTCAGAACCTTGGCCTGAAACGGCCTTGAAGGACAGGGTCGGGTACAAAAAAACCGCTTTCGCCCACTGATAAGCTCAAATCGGCGATTTTGCCCGCCGATTTTTGCAGATCGGCGAGTTGGCTGGCTGATCTGCAGAGGTCGGGATTTTGCCTGTAATTACTCAGTCTAGGCACTCCCTCGTCCCCAACAAATGAGGTAGAACAAACATTGTCAACCAGTTTGCCACAGCTCACCACTCAACACCTCAGTGAACCTACAAGACCCAACACCCACTGCAGACCTGTCATTGAGCTCAGCCCAACCCCAAGCTAGGGCTCAAATTTGACAGGAGGTATTTCTGTGTTGACGACGAAAGAATCGGGTCTCCCTAGTACCCGACCTGATTTACAGCATTTTGACCCAATTCCCGGTCGGGTTACTATTGGGTCAAGACCCGACCCGGCCCGGATTGATTTTAGGAATCGGGTCATGGGTCGACCCGACCCAGCCAGGTCAGCGTTTTGAAAGTCTGGGCCGACCCGCCAAAAAGCCGGGTCCCATGCTCATGCCTGAAAGAGGCTTTGGTTGCTACCGTGGCCAACATTATTGCCCCCTCCAATAAGTTGGATCGGGAAATTATTGGGCTGTCCAATAATTCTCGTCACAAGTGAGCCAAGATTGTTGGGCCTCCAATAATCTTCCAACCCAACCTTGGGGGCCAAATATTTGGGCCTAGGGTTGAGTTCCCAACCCCAACTAGGGTAAGCCCTAGTTGTGCACCCAAACCATATCAGGGTGTCTAAGTCCACCCAAGCTATGAAGGATACTTGCAGGACACGGGGAATGATATTATAACAATCGTAGCATGGGAGGGTGCGTGGAAAGGTGAGATGGGTGGGAGAAGAGCACTCACATTGTCATTGCCTTCTCCCCCTTTCCCCAGCCCCCTCGTCCTTCCCCTTCCCCCATCTCTCCACGTCTTCCTGCTGATCGCACATGGCACATGATGAGAAGCGAATGGACCGTCGTGACGCCATCACGCCCACCACCTTTTTTACCTCCCTCTCCCATCCGCGTCCACACCACCTTCCCCCTTCCTTCTCTTCCCTATTCCTCCGTTCCCTGCCCACCACTGCCCCAACACTTCCCCCACTCCAAATGATTCACAGATTTCAGCGCTGGGACTGCACGAGGCGGAGTCAGCATCACGAGTGAGGGGGGTGCACGTGAGGAGCACAAAGGCCAACTTCAACCACCTGCAGGACGCCGTCATGGACCCCACCGCGTGGTGCCAGGACACGCTGCTCAAGAACGAGGTGCGAGCCCCACAGCACTGCCAAGTAACCAGGTTCTTTCAACCCAATCCTGCAGTTCCTATCCTGATCATTTGCAAGGCAGCTCAGTCCGCCCCTCCTTCATCGTGCTGCTTACGCCCCTGCTTGCCTGCCTGTGTGGTGCTCTGCTGTCATCTCTGGCTTGGCCTGACCTGGTGTGGTCTTTTGTTGTGTGGCATGGCGGGGCACTGCACGGCGTGCTATGGCATGGCATGGCATGGCACGGCACGGCACGGCACGGCACGGCACGGCACGGCACGGCACGGCACGGCACGGCACGGCACGGCACGGCACGGCACGGCATGGCATGGCATGCCATGGCCACGGCACGGCACGGCACGGCACGGCACGACACGGCACGGCACGGCACGGCATGGCATGGCATGGCATGAGCATGAGCAGGTGCCGGAGTTCTATGTGCGAGACGTCTACCTGCGGGAGGCAGCCCAGTCGGTGCGGGCGGGGCGAGTCTGCGACTTCACCCGAGGCCGAGTCAGTCCCTCCCTGCTCGCCCTCCCTGCTCGCCCTCCCTGCTCGCCCTCCCTGCTCGCCCTCCCTGCTCGCCCTCCCTGCTCGCCCTCCCTGCTCGCCCTCCCTGCTCGCCCTCCCTGCTCGCCCTCCCTGCTCGCCCTCCCTGCTCGCCCTCCCTGCTCGCCCTCCCTGCTCGCCCTCCCTGCTCTCCCTCCCTGCGCTGTACTCCTTGTTGGACTTTCCGTGATTCCTTGTGTGTCATCGGTCACATGTTCGTAACCCTAAGCCCTCTTGTGCTCCGTGCGTTGCTATGTGCCCCGTGCAGTGCGTCCCTGGCCCAGACTAAAAGCGTGTTCAACGCCGCACGTGCAGCGCTTCTGATAACTGTCTACTGTTTCTCTTCAATTGCTGCTTACACTCGTTGCTCAAGCTGAAGCGTTTTGAGGGTGGTAAGGTGGCAGCATGAGGTGCAAGCGGACCGGTTAGAATGACTGAATGATTCGTTTATGCAGGGCAGGGCAACCGGTGGTGGAGCAGAGGAAACCACTGTTGGCACTACTGTATAACTTGCATGCGATTCAGTGCATTAGAAATACTCTTTGCCACACCTCCCTGGCATGTCGCCGTAGCCAGCGCTTGGGCACCGCTTGGAAAAGCACTGGTGATTCAGCACTTCTGGCCCGGTCCCAGTGCAGATGCAGTTAGGTAATTTGTAATCTGGCATGCTTGGCAAGCTTGTTCATGAAACTGAAATCTGTTCATCCTGCACACAAGCACACAAGCACACAAGCACACAAGCACACAAGCACACAAGCATACAAGCAGGCAGGCAAGGCAAGGCAAGGCAAGGCAAGGCAAGGCAAGGCAAGCAGGCAGGCAAGGCAAGGCAAGGCAAGCAGGCAGGCAAGGCAAGGCAAGGCAAGGCAAGGCAAGGCAAGGCAAGGCAAGGCAAGCAGGCAGGCAAGGCAAGGCAAGGCAAGCAGGCAGGCAAGGCAAGGCAAGGCAAGCAGGCAAGGCGGCTATGAAGAAATCATGATAGCTTGTCACGTTACAAGAACATTGCCCACGTTCTACCTTTAACGTAACTTTCACCGCTATTTACCCAATCAGGCCAGAGATGGACAAAAAAAGAAAGTGGTTCAAATGTCAACATTAGCCGAGCCTGCGCGCTTGCTCCTGAAAGAATCTCAAGCAACGAAGGGAGGGAGAAGGGAGGAGGGGGAGGGGGAGGAGGAGGGGGAGGAGGGAGGGGGAGGAGGGGGAGGAGGGGGAGGAGGGGGAGGAGGGGGAGGAGGAGGGGGAGGGGGAGGAGGGGGAGGAAGGGGAGGGGGGGGAGGGGGAGGGGGGGAGGGGTAGGCAGGGGAGGCGGGGGGTGGTGCGGGCGGGGCGGGTGGTGGGTGGGCAGGGGGGGGGGGGGCTGGGGGCGGGGGAGGGGGAGGAGGAGGCGGGGGAGGTGGGGGAGCGGGAGGCGAGGGAGGGGGAGGAGGGGGCGGGGGAGGAGGGGGCGGGGGAGGTTGGGATATGGGCTTTGCCAGGTTGGGGTTGAAGGCTAGGTCATGTCGGGGTTTAAGGCTGGGTCGGATTGGGGAATAAAGCTGGGTCAACATGGGGTTATGGGCTAGGTCAGCTTGGGGTATGGGCTGGGTCAGGTTGGTGTTCAAGGCTAGGTCGGGTTGGGTTGAAGGCTAGGTCGGGTTGGGGTTCAAGGCTGGGTCAAGTCTTTGATCCGGGCCTCACGTAATTGGTCTGTCAGAGGTCCACTGGTGATCCCCGATTGATTCTAGGGAAGGGTTACAGGCATGTTGGCCTGGGGGGTTATGGGCGCACTGACCCGCTACTTAACAAGCCCTTTTATCCCAGTGGTCTATTGACTGGGATTCTGACATGGTATAGAGCATAGGTCCTTAGGACGATTAGGGCCCACCACGATTATCTTACCTAGTGCCTACGCGCGCCTCGGCTGCCCGCGCGCGCCTCGGGCGGTCCTTTTTTTTTTTTTCCCACGTGCGCCGTCTTAGCAGCCCGCGTAGCCCGTTTCGGCCCCGCCTGTGCGCCCCCTTACGCCGCCCGTGCGAAACCTGATTAGGCCACGCCAGAGCGGCACGTCGCCCAGCGTAGCCCGTAGTGTAGCGACCAACCCGCAGCCGCGCACGTGCGGCCCGTCGCCCAGCGCAGCCCGCAACCGCACGTAGAATGCAGCCGCGCACGCTGTAGCCACGCACAGCCCGCAGCTCGCGCAATCCGTCGCCGTGCGTAGCCTGCGGCCGCGCGCGCTGCCTGTAGCCACGCGCAGCCTGCAGCCTCGTGCAGCAAGCCGCCACACGCAGCCCTCAGGCCGCTCCTGCCAGCTGCCTGCTGCCTGCCACCTGCCTACTGCCTGCTGCCTGCCGCTCCTGCCTGCCGCCTGCCTGCTGCTTGCTGCCTGCTGCCGCCTGCCTACTTACTGCCTGCTGCCTGCCTGCTGCTTGCTGCCTATAGCCTGCCTGCCTGCCTGCTTGCCGCCTGCCTGCCACCTGTCTGCAGCCTGCCTTCTGCCTGCCTGCTGCCGCCTGCCTGCCTACTGCCTGCAGCCTGCCTGCCTGCTTGCTGCCTGCTGCCGCCTGCCTGCAGCCTGCCTGCCTGCTGCCGCCTGCCTGCTTACTGCCTGCAGCCTACCTGCCTGCCTGCTTGCTGCCTACTGCCGCCTGCCTGCAACCTGCCTGCTGCCTGCCTGCTGCCTGCCTGCTACTTGCTGCCTGCTCTCGCCTGCCTGCTTGCTGCCTGCGGCTGCCTGCCTGCCGCCTGCCTGCTTGCTGCCTGCTGCCGCCTGCCTGCAGCTTGCCTCCTGCCTGCCTGCTGCTTGCTGCCCCTGCCTCCTGCCTCTGCCTCCTGCCTCCTACTTGGTGCCTGCTGCCTCTGCCTGCTGCTTGCTGCCCCTGCCTCCTGCCTCCTACTTGGTGCCTGCTGCCTCTGCCTGCTGCCTGCTGCCTGCTACCTCCTGCCTTAACCCAATATGGCGACGCCTAACGTTCTAGCATTCGAGCCTGACGGTCGTCCCATCGAGTTCAGTGTATGGTTAGACGATCTCCAACTGTTCCTTCTGACTGATGCTAAAGATGGCGTTTCCCTGTTTGATTACGTCTCTGGCTCTGCCGTTGCTCCTGCTGCTGATGCTCCTGCTCTAGAACGCTCCCAGTGGCAGACTCGTGATGCTGCTGCACGTCTAGCTATTAGGAACCACCTGCCGATTACTGAGTGAGCGCATTTCAGCCAGCACAGAACTGCTCAGACACTGTACGACGCTGTAGTTGCGCGCTACTCCTCCCCGGCCACTGCAGCCATAGGTCGACAAGTGCTACCGTACCTGTTCCCCAATCTTTCCTCGTTCACCACTGCTGAGGACCTAGTTTCTCACCTGCGCGCTACTGAATCTCGCTTTCGTGCCGCCCTTTCAGCCGAGTTCTGCACCGCAAACCCCCCCCCGATGTACTTCACTCTCTATTTCCTCGTCACCCGCCTCCTTGACACTCTTAGCTCTGTCAGGGACCACTTCCTAGCGCTAGACCCCACCACTCTCACTGTAGACGACTTCGAGAAGCACCTCCTCGTAGCAGAGAAGAACATCCTCGCTGTAGGTGCTGCTCGTGGCACTCCTCGCTCTCCCCTCTTTGAGGGGTGCTCCCCCTCCCCTCTCACCCCCTCCTACGCCTCCGCAGCTGCCGCTCACGACTACCTTGGTGCTGAGGGGGTCGGAGCTGCTTCCGCTCCCGGTGGGAAGCGTCGCAGCGGCAGGGGCGGCAGGGGTGGCAGGGGCGGTGGAGGTGGCGGTGGAGGTAGCGGTGGTGCAGGCGACGGGGGAGGTGGAGGTGGTGGGGGTGGTCGTGGGGGTGGAGGCGGTGGAGGTGGTGGTGGGGGCGGCGGAGGCACTGGGAGCGGTGGAGGGGGCAGCAGCGGCGGTGGGGGAGGAGGGAGCGGTGGTGGCAGTGGTGGTCAGGGCCAGCAGCAGCCGCAGCAGCAGGAGCAGCAGCAGCATCAGCGTCAGCGCCAGACCCCCACTTCCTAGCAACTTCTTGACTGGTATGCCGGGCGTGGGGCTTCTGGGGGTCCTGGTCGCTGCCCCTATATCATCCGCACAGGTCCCCGCACTGGTCGCCACTGCACAGGTTTTCACACTGAGCAGCGCTGCTTCGCTCGGCTTAGCGACGCCTGGCGCGCCAAGTTTCCTGATGCTACTGAGTTCCCCAACTGGGCAGACTTGCTTAGGCGTGATGTACCTATCTGTGATCTTGACTATGAGGCAATTCTTGCTGCTATGTATATATTGTATGTTAGTGCTGAGGGTGACTGCTACTTGTGTGTGCCACCGGATCCTGGTATAGCCCCTGGTATAGCCCCTGCAGCACTAGGTGCTTGTGAGTCTGCTCCCCTTGGTACTGCGCCTGCACAGGCCTTGCACACCTTTACACTTGACTCTAGTGCTTCCCGCTGTTTCTTTCGCGACAGTACCACAGTCACTCCCCTCCCTGCACCTGTTCCTGTCTCACTGGCTGACCCCTCTGGGGGCCCAGTGCTTGCACGGTCTTCCACTGTGCTTCCGTGTCCGGCGGTCCCGTCTGGTGAGCTGTCTGGTCTCCACCTCCCCTCGTTCTCTACGAACTTGGTGAGTAACGCTGTCCTCCAGGATGCGGGGGTTGACACCTTCACCCCTGGCCGGCAGCGTGTGGCGATTTGCACGTGCTCCCAGACTGGTCGCCACCTGGCCACGTTCACTCGTGTGCCGGGGTCCAGTCTGTACACCCTCACCACTGCGTCACGCTCCGCCCCTTTGTCTCCCCAGTTGCACGCGTCTGCTCAGGTAGCTACACAGTGTGAGTGTCGCCGGCTGTCGCTCGACACTCTCCTGTGGCACCACCGCCTTGGTCACCCCTCCCTGCCTCGCCTACGCAGCATGCACTCCCGCCTCCTGGTTTCTGGGCTTCCCAGGTCTCTGCCTCCCCTCCCTCCCTCGCTTGCGCCGCCCTGCATTCCCTGCGTCGAGGGGC